GTTATTAAACACTCAAAACTATGTCAGTCACTGGATTTCAGCACTTGGAGGAGCGGAGTATGCAGAGAGTTTGTTCACTCCACAATACAGATTTTGCTACCTCAGTCAAGTTTTGCTTTTTCCTTTCATGCCTCAATGCAGTGTTGCTAAAATGACAATAAAGCAAGAGGATGACCTTGCATTGCAGGCAGGGCTGTGATATCTGTAAACAGAATCTTCTCATAAGAAATATTATTAAATGCTATCAAGCTTCTGACTGTCATAATAAATGCATTTGGAGGCATTTGAAGAGGCAGGCTGAGTGTGATGTAGGTGATCTGACTGGAATATGAAAAGAACTTAGGATGACAAGCTAACTGAAGAGAAAAAAATCTAATGGGTAGTGATGGAGCAATATGGTGTGGGTCACAGCTCAGGGCCTGCACTGCTGACGAGCAGCAGAGCTGCTGGGAGGGATTTTGGAGGAATGGGTAGTCCCTTTCCTTGGCAGGCACCTCATCTGTTTGGCACCCTGCTGAGCAGCCTTACTAGGGCAAGCATCCATCTGGAAATGCTTCTCAGTAAACATAGGCTGAATACTCCCCTGCACCCTGACACACACACATTAAAAATTGAGAGATTGTGCAAGACGTGACTTTCATTTCTTTGGGAAATGAAATTGGGTCTTTGTCTATAAGACAATATTGTGGAGTCACTGGTCAAATAAAGTGTGAAATGAAAAGGCATGTGGTATCAAAAAACAGTTCTCTGTACAAAATCGAGTTTTACTTAAATATTATGTTTCCAGATATTCAAACACTTCTCTGGAAACAGGCAACATTCATGAATATTAGTAAAAGTCAGATATTACTAAAGATCTTTCAAAGAGCTACAGTTTTAAGTGTAAAAATATTTTCAAGAGATAGTCAAGAAAGTGTATATGATCTGACAGGGAGAAAAGCAAAAGATGCTATTTTTGTCTCCTGAAAGACCTGTTATAATTACAACAGTTGGAGAAAAAAGTAGATTACTGGCTCATCTCTTTTCACTTTGTAATATTTCTGTCATTTGACACTCTTTTTGATTCAGTAAAAAGTCTGAAAAGCACTCAAAACCTGTGTGTTTTAGGATTAGGAGAGGAAAGGCTACTTTTGTTCAGCCTGAAGCTTATGGTAGGGAGTTACCACGAATTCAGTATGCTGCTTTGGCAGATATATAATGGCTACTCATATGTTTTGATTCTCTTGGTGCAAAGGTGAGCATTGGAAGATATTTGGGATATGATCTTGAGTTCAACATAGCATAAATCATACTTTTTAATTAAGTTTGTGGTTACATAACTTCTGTACCTTCCTCCAGCATAAATATCAGACATAAACCTTTGGGCCATTCTGTTTTCCATTGATTATTCACAGACCAGTAAGCCCTTAAGTCTGAGATAGTAAATGCTTAGGAAATCATAACTGTAACAATGAGAAAAGCTGCTGAAGATTGCTACAACAATTATATGAATGAAGCTAGAGACTGAACTTGCCCAACACAACAGAAGCACAATCTTCGCTTGGTGAAATGAAACTGTTTATCCCAGTATTTATATTCTTTTCCTTACTACAGAGGTGTTAGCAGCTCTAACTGGTTTGACATTTTTAAAAATGTTAATAGGACCTAGATTCTGATGACTTCTCTAAACCTGAACAAATGTTTCTTTTGGTCAAAATAATTTATTTTGGTCTAAATAAACAGAACATGAAAGAAAAACAGCCTGACTGGGTTAAGCTGGAGATCCAGTTAGCCCAGCAGCTTTTTGTAAAGTTGTCTAACAGCAGATGTTTAAATGGAAAAGTAGAAGTAACATGATCCTTCCCTGTTTATAACCTCTCTGCTTCTTGAAATGTGATGTTAAAAGATGTCCTTGGTTCCATTGCTTGCTAATGTGTCTAATTCTTTTATCTTATTTATTTTTATACAACATCCTTTAATAATGAGCATCAGAATTTAATTATTGCATGGAAAGGTACTATCCATTGCCCTATTTAAACCTGAGATTAGAAGGTTTCTCTGGATCTCCCTAACTGTAATTCACATTCACTGGTTTTGTATCCATACTGATTTTGTAGACTTTAATTTCACAGGCCATGGATTGAAGGAGTCAAACGAAACAAATTTAAAGTGATATAAATATTCTAAATCACATTTTTAAGAAGTGCTGGGCTAATTTTCTAGGTGAAGTAATGCACCCAAGTTTGGCCTTTGAAAAGATTATCCTTTAGCTCTCCCTGCTAACAGGTTTGTCAGCTGTATTTCTGAGCATTCTTAACACCTTTTTAGTGCTGATCAACTACAAATGTCAGCCTATCCATAATACTTTGTATCTTATCTCTGGATTTGGGACTAAAAAATAGGTATAAACGGATGAAAATGCCTAAGAATTTATAAACCTGTAGAATAACTTGATGTTTTCTACTTTAAAAAATCATAGTTATTGCAAAGAAATTGTAGTACTACCTCAGGAAACCTATGCTGTGTGTTATTGGCTTTTGAACGTTGCTTTTGTAGGGGAAGAAAGGACTTGGGACCAATGGAGTGATTCAGATAAAACTGCAGGAGGGTAACACTTTAACCTGTGCAACCTCCCCTAGGATTCTCTGTATTTAGTTAAGTTTTGGTTCTTTTTAAAAAATGCTTATATGCACATCTCCTGGCCAAATTTAGAAATGTCCCATGAAAAGCTTTCTCTCAGCTTCATCTTTAGAGTAAACTGAGACAGTTCCACTTGCCCACACAGCCATGAACGAGTGAGCCAGAGGTGCCACAGACACACATAAACTCGTTCCTATCTGAATTTTAATTTTGATTTTGAAACAAGACTTTTCCTGGGCTTACTGCAGCCCTGTTTATTTGGGCTGAATTGCTTCCAGACTAAAAAAAAAAAAAAAAAAAAAGGTGAAAAAAGTAAAGCATGGACAGCTTATACCACTTCTTTTTGAACACTTTAAGTCCAAATGGAAATGCTGACCCCTAAAATGAGCATACATGTATGTTCAAATATGTACTCAAACATTTTATGTGTTGATGCTTAGTTTAAGAGTAAACCCTCCTTCCCCTTATGCTCTTTCAGTCACAGGCCTACCTTATCTTTTCCCAAAACTTTTGAAATTGTGGGACTTCATATATATATATATTCTTTTTTATAGACAAAAACAAATTTTAGCAAATACTAAAATAGAAAGCTTGGTCCCAAAAGGGTACAATGGTCTTGGCCTGTAATTGTACAGTTTCCTAAACAGTGAAACAGTGATGTTGAATGGCTGGAATATTAATGTGACACTGATGACAAAAATGGAAAAACTATTTGGGGAATTAAGAGGTAATTAAATTCTTGACAGACTCACAGGAATAAGGACCATTAGTTATATGAATGAGTTATTCCCCTGAGGCTTTGATTATATACAGGAAATAGATATTTAACAAGTGATTTCATTGGCAATATAAAACTTATTATCTCCCCAAAATAAGTGGCAACATTAATTTACGGGGTTGCAGAGCACAGTCATTTCAAACTGAAAAACAGAATTCTGACTCCTGAAGAAATGCAATGAGATGAATCAGTTCTTTCTTAATACATTTTGTTATGCATTTTGTACAAAGTTATCTGCATGTGAAATAATATTCAGAGGCTCAAGACTGATTCCGTGTACCTTATAAGTCTGGAAAACTGTTTTCAGTCAGAGCAATTGCAATTGAATTGAGGAAGTGTTCTATAGAGCAGTAAAAGGGAAGTATTTGAAAGTCCGAAATATTATTTTGCCGGCTTGGAAACTACTGCCCTAGGACCAGTGGATTCATAGCAAGAGGCAAGTCTTGCCCTGATAATCTGTCTGAAAGGATGGAATAAACTAGGATAAAGAAATTATTCATTACAGAGGGAAAACAAAGCAGGAGGAGATTAAGAATGAGTATTTCAAACTATGCAAAGGCCACAGCAACAGCAGATCTGGAAGGGACCTGCTGAACCACTTGGTTCTTTCCCTTGCTAGCACCTACCTATGACCGTGTCCTCTCATCACACAGTTTTGGCCCTGCCCTGTTTTTTTTTTGCAGCCAACCAGGACTTTTTCCTGATGGTTTCTGAATCTCTGTTTCACAGTTTGCTCACAGAAGCCCTTAGTTGTAAATCCCATGCATGCCAACTGGACTGTTCTCAAAAATAAATCCCTGCAAATGTCAAGTATTTACTACTGCTACAACTGCAAGTTACACTTCTGTGGAAAAATATACCTTAACAGCCAGGACTGTGGGCATTTCTCATGCTGTAATGCTTGCCAGCCAGATGGCAACATACAGGACGTAAGGCATCAGGTTAGTGAGAACTGCTGACTGGGGGGTACAATTACAGCAATGCTGCGGAGTGGGGACAGCAGGAATGCTGTTCTGTTCAGGCACCGCTGGTGGAAGGGAACTCTTCATTTTTTGTGTTGGTTGGCCACTGTGCCTGCTGTGAAACTCACCAGTGTTCAATGTCTGTCACAACTGTCAAAGCAGAACATTCAAAACCTAAATTTTTGCATCTGGGACTTCTTAACTTTCAACCCTTCATTTGAGATTTAACAGCTTTTGAAGCCAGGGAATTTACACTTCTGGCCCTATTTCATTGAACTCTTATCCATCTGCATTAATTTTTAAAGTCTTTTCTTCTTTATTCATTGTTTAACTAAAATCACAGCTATCACAGAATGCTCTTCATTTTTTTAGTATCTTCCCATGAGGAGGTGCTGTCATTCAGTATTATTCTAAAAAGAATAATTGAATATTTCAAAGATTATATATTATATATATAAATATATAGATTATTTGAATATATAAAATAATTTTATATATTTACTAATGCCCCATCTATATTTCACTATTCCTCAGGTCTTGCAACAACCTAAATATTCCTTATGATGCTAAATTTTTCTCTACTCTGAAACTTATAAAACACTTGCAAAGTACAATTTCAAAAGGTTTCACTATTTACCTACCCCTTTTGAGTCAATTACACCAGGTTTTGCGTTGAATTTCACCGTCTTCAAACGTGCACGCTCCTTTCTTTCAACTCTGGGGAAAAGAAAACACAAGTGAAGAAACACATGTTGATTATATCAGCATTTTGTATGATACATTTGATATCTGCTCTCCCAAGACTTACAATACATAAAGCAAGCATTTAAAGCAAATTTCATAAATTAAACAGAGAGATTACTTCCTCAGCCAAGCACCAGTTTTCTGGCAAACACAGGACTGGGTTTGAGGAGCTTTGGCTGCCCTGCACCAGCAGAACAGCACTGCCTCCTAACACACATAGGAAAAGCATGGCAGGGACATGTTTACTCTCTCTAATTTAAGCTGTTCAAAAATGAGGCAAAATTTAGAGTTCTTCTATGGTCAGAGGAATGAAACAAGGACAGAGATAGAATGAACTGTGCACCTTATTGCACTTCATGGTGGAGTAAATTTTAAATCGTACAAACAAGGTAAAGTGAATCCCACAATTCACTTGAATATAAGGCAAGCCATGTCCTTACCTGGATTAATATGGAAATTATTGTAAAAGTGACATCTCCTACCTTTGTAAAATCATCTACAGAGTCTGACTCAAGAAAAAAAATCTGATAATCCACTGGTTTAAGTACAAAAATCGAATCATCTATCTGAAATTGAAATACTAGCCCTATTTGTCTAAACTGGTAATTGCTCTATGAAATCTAAGTTGAATCCTGCAAAGCTAGCTTATAAGAGGTCAATACTCTGTTTTATTGGACAACAAATAGTTGGGGAAAAAAATGAGGTTTGTTATATTCTCCAAAGTGGTCCACACATGGCCATTTTTTCTAACTTTCACAGTTTCCCACAAACGCAATTAGAATACATTCCTGCAAATCTTTTGGTTTCTAAGTCTGGTTAGTAAGAATACATAGTTTCTGATAATTATTTTTAAAAATAAAAACTCAAATGTTTTGATAGAATGATAATTAACATAGCATGTTTCCTTCTGTCTGAGTAGGCTCATATATGTCCTACTGAAAAACAGTGAATGTTGGTTACTATAGCTACAGTTTAAATTTAGATTAAATGCATTTCTCTGTACGTGTGGAATATTCACATGGAAACAGCTCAAATGCAGCTTTCAAACTAAATCTATGTTATTAAAAAGCCATGAACAGTCTCAAACTAAAACTAGCAGATGAAGTCCCTTGGTAGTATGGGTAAAAATGAAGACTTGAGGCTGTGTAATTGCCTAAATAGGATGGATAACTTCTGGGGAAATAATTAGCACAAATGAACACAATATTCTACTTATTAATCTATGTTAACATTTAAACTCATTCCAGCCCTGCCTAACTTCCTAAAACATCTGTTTTTAACTATTTCTACAGTTTATATTTCTATAAAGAAATTTGGAAATTAATCTTGAAGAGCGAATCTTATGAAGTTTGTAAAAATTGCATTAGCAGCCATGAAGGCATTGCTGCTTTGTAGAGGCATAGCAAACAGATGACAAACTGCAGAAACATTCTGCTTTGCCTTAAGAAGTTTTTAAATAGTGTCATTTAGTGTCATTAATCCTTCAGGCAAACATAGCAACAAGGTTCATATATGCTCAGCATGCCTACTGAATATTCCAAACATTTCATCATCTGGCATTGTATTAAGGGCAGCACACAGTGTTGTCTCCCATTACAATTTTCCTGACACCTTCCACCATAAAACTGTTCTCAGTTACTTATAATTTAGCTGAACTGTAAACTTCCAAGCTGAAATTTTCTGTGTTTCAGGCTGATTACATTACTGTTGCTGCCTGAGTTGTCAGTGATCTGGGTTAGCTGTTAGAAAAAGGCTAGTACCAAATAATGGTTTTGCCCAATTTATAATATAATCTTAACATGCTTCAGCTCAGGTTCTCTATTGCCTTCACGTCTTTGGTCTGGGACTTGAATTGCGGCAGTGGGTTGGTCTAGTGGTAGGAACAAATCTCTCTTTTTCCTGAAGGAATCAACCTAAGTCTCTAAAAAGCTTTGGTTTTAGATGCTTTGGAGAACTGTGTTCGAATTTAGATTTGGTTCTCCAAAGATTTAATCTTTGTTGAAATGGTTAAGGTGCAGGACTGCAGTGAACTAAGATGTTCTCAGAATTTCTCATCTGGGCTACCAGGACACTTTTGCCATAGACAGAGCTAAAAAGGGAACTAAAATGAGGAAGATACAAAGTTTTGAATGCCAGTTCTTTTAGATTCATTGATCCAGCTCTTAGAAAATACACTTCTCAAATAAACACTAATTCAAACATTTTTGGCATTTCTTTTGAATTTTCAGGTTTGTAATTGCTACATTAAAGACAAAATAAAGTTGACTTTTTTCCCAAATAAAAAAGTAGCTTAGGTACAAAGGGTTATTTGCAGCAGCTGATACTGTGAATGTCTAAATATGAGTGTAAATTCTTTACATTGCTTTAGCTGACAGCAACCTACTATCACTTGAACAGCATTTTGATCCATCAGATGCAGAAATTGCTTATATAGGAAGGAGTGTTTCACTTCAAACTGTAACCATTTTTCATTCACCACTGCTGCACAAAGCAGGATTATGCTGTGCAAAACACAAATTGAAGGAGGAGGACTCCTGCCTGACAACTTTGCAGAGGCCCAGATATGCAACCCTGACTTGCCTGATGTACACACTGCTGCTGTGCCCCTTCTTAATTATATATTTGCTTGATAGAGCTACACCTAAGAGATCAGGATATCATAGATACTATTTCCAAAACGAATTCATGGCTCAAGTCTCATTTTCAAAAGTGCCAGAGGAGTCAACTAAGCTGAAAGAGATTTCAAGATATGTTGAAAGAAACACTCCCAGCACTCAAACATGACTTGGGAGCTGAAAAGCTCTGAGCCCTGAGCACCACCTGGCACAACTGATGGGGATTTCACCTCTTCCCACTCATTCTCCAAGCATAACTCCCTGCAGAAACATGGCTGTATCTAAGACCATCTGAGATATGGGACAGTTGGAGTATACGCTGTATACTCACTTTCCCTTTACAATATTCCTGGTGGTAGACACATTTGGCCCTTTTTTCAAAGATGGTCAGGATTCACTCTCTTCTTCCCGAGTAAAGCTAAAGAAGTGGAGCAGTACATTGAAAACATACTTCAGCCTTCAGGTTCCCTCACTAGCAAGTTCAAGACTTCAGTTCTTTGGGATGCTGTTCTCTTCCTGCTCTTCTGTGGAACTTATGACTGGGATGTAAGACTTATTGCACTGCAATATCTATCTGCTTTCGTATTTGTGGCCACATGTAGCTGTTCAAAGGGGCCTGTGGGATTTTTCAAAATGACACTTTCAGTTCTTCATGTGTGCTGCAAACAAGAAACAAAAATCAAGTATAACTCAACAAGACATGAACTGTGATCGCCCATTGTTGGAGGTTAATGGACCAGTTTTGTCAGTGCCTTTCTAAAAGCACTAATTTAAGGGGAGATTTAGAATATGAAGTGAGACATGCTTTAATCTTCAGTAACAGTATTCATCACTGATGTAGAATACAGATGCAAATTGCAAATTCATTTCAAGGATGAAATAAATTTGTAACAGTAGCCTAATTTGCACAGATTTGGCGTTGAGGTGTTTTCCACAATGAAAGTTATTTCCAAATCCAGCATGAATACTACAGTGAGGAGAGTAGCAAATAGAAAAAAGCAATGTAAAATTGCTTGAAAGACCTTGCTATATTTTGCATCTTTATTAACAAGTTTCTTCTTATCTTGCTTCCCCATTTCCAGGTCATCTGCATTATATTTGTTTTGCCTGCCTATCAAGTAAAAGATAAGTGAAAATACATACATACTATTTATAGTTTAAATCTGTGGTCTCAGTTCATAGCTTTTTATTGCTTCCATCCTTTGCACTGCTTACTATTGTCCATGTGAGATCTGAGCTTACCAAGAGATTCTCACTTTCAAAATTATTTTTGAGCATTCCTGAAGTTGTGTTTTTGCAACTGAACATGTATCTTTCAGTAGGAGAGAATGTGCTCTGGTTCAGCTCTCAACAGTCAGTGATTTGCTTATAGAGAGCAGCTCAGCACCTGGTCAATATTTATGAAAAGAGTAGACCTAATGACATTAGGAAGTGAATTCTCACAAAATTGTAGAATGACCTTGCTCTGTTTAAAAGCTAACAGCTGTTTTCCTTCAGCACAAAAGTTTCCCATCATTGCATGAGCACAGGAAGAGGTTTATACCTACATATATATATCAATTTTATTCCATATTTAATTTTTCCAATTAGATTAGTAGGTATAGTCGGGTAACTTATTTTAGACAAAGCTTACATGATCATACTATGTTATAGAGTTTTATCATCTAAAGATGAAAATCTCATGGGATGTTTAGAAAGGTAGACAATTTATAGGAAACCATTAAAAATAAAACTCACTTGAGTGGATAAACATGCCTTTCTGCCAAGCTGAGCAGAATAACAAATTTAAGTTGGCTTTTTGCCCACAGGGACTTCTGTTCTGGGAAAACCTCTTGTTCCTTGTCCTTAAATGTTTGTAAAACATTGAGTTTTATGTACTTTTCCCCCCACTTTGCTCTGAAAGAAAAGCATGGTTACATGTATTTGTGGGGAGAATGTTGTGTATTTGAAAACACAAATATCAGGATGGTACCATCATACACCTCCGGGTGGTAATAACAGAGATACAAGTTGTGTAACATTTTGCATTCAGATCTACTTAAACTACCTAAAAATGGGTGTCTTAGAATGATGTCCAGTCTGACAGCAGTTTGGTGACTGCATATCTTAAAGACAACAGAAAGATTAATGTAATTGTTTCAGTGATTTAAGGCCAAATCCTCACTGTCTGCAGTAGTAAAAGTGGCGAGAATTTATGCTCAGCCATTCTGGGGCAATCTTTGTGAAATCTCAGGCTGTATTTCAGACCCACAGACTCAAGTCAAGCAGATATGCACACATCACAGAAAATACTGAAGCTTGAGGAGGTTGCTGTTGTGGGGGGCTTGCAATGTAGGAGCTTGTCTGTGTGCAGGGACTCAGCAAAGAAAAAGTGAAAAGAACTGGAGGAGTAAAATCAATGCTGCAGCAAATTAAAATCTCTTTACTACTGAATTAGAGTATCTGTCTAGAAATATAATACACTCTGACTTACGCAATTGGTTTTGTGTATTTTGTTCATTCTAATGTGAGTGTTTCCATGGGGAGGCAATCTTAGACATAGGCTGCTCAGCTTGCTGCTGCCCTTTATGGAAAGCCTAATTTTTTTTTTTTTTCCATATGGATAATAGGAGGCAATGAGGCAAAGAAAAATTCTCATGATCAAAAGCACATCATATGTAGAAATTCTAACCTAAATCTATACATATATATATATGTAAATGTTACAAAAATCCACTCTAAATCTAATTCTATTGGTCATTTTAGTATAAGTAGTAATTTTCAATGATTTCAAAGGGAGCAATTCACACACATAAACATAGTGCACTGGCAATACTGCAGGCTGCCTGTGACATTGGTACAGAGCTGGTAGCTATGTCCCCTCACCCTGGACATCCTGCCTGATATAATTGTGCCTTACTGTCACCTTAAACACAGCTTGGATAAATCTTTTGGGAAGAGGTGGAACCAAAAAAAATTTGGTCTGAAATCTTCATTCATTAATACTATATAGTAACTATTTGGCGACTGGTAAATTGCAACTGAAGTGGTTTGCAGCCTCTCATGCTGAAGTCCTGTGCTTCCCAACACCAACATGATACAAAACCACAACACCTTTATAGCATTATATTTGGTTCCTACTCAACTGGCTACTCAATCCTGTAGTCAAGAACAACAGTTGTAATCAGATAATAAATATATACTGACAAATGGACAAAATTTCATTTTCAGATGTAGAAATGGTTGCAATTGTATTTAAAAACTGAAAGGTACTGAGAATTTAATTTTCGTTAATCTTCGCAGAGGTCATTGGTGCACTAGTTCATGAGATTCGGTCCTTGCACAGATCAGTGGAGAAACGTGGGGCTACCCTCATTTCTTTGTGCTGCCTCTCAGTAACCTCTAGCTGCAGTGCTGCCCTCCAAAACTCCTTCTAAAAGCCTGACTTTTCAATTTAACCATAAACAAGGCAACAAGTCCACACATTGGCAGCGGCACTGAAATCTAATGACAAAAGATCTTTCAAATGCTATTAAATCACTGAGAGGTAATGTATCTAACATCCTGGAGAGAATAATGAGCGGCAGCTCCCCTATAATTCTAAATTATGATTTCTTCTGGTATATCACATATGTCATAGAGGAGTCTTGATTTATCACTCAAAATTTCTCTAATCAACTCATGCTAAAATGTCACTGCATGATGGGCTGTCCTGGAAGAAAATAAAAAACCTAAATACATGGAATCAATCCCCATTACATAGCACCTCAGAGAAGTAATATGATGTACTTGTTATTGCTTTATGTGTTTATATATATATATATATATATACATATTTGTGTACATGTGTATATCTCTCTCAAAACCAGAACTGAAGTGGTCACTGGCTTTCAGAGCTATTCTGTAATGATTTCAGTTATGGAAAATGCAGGAATTGTATCTTAGCTGTTGGTGAACAGGACCTGAGGTAGCAAATCAGATAACTAAAACACTAACCCCAGAACTAACAATTCCTGGATCTGTATAGCCTCTCCCTGGTCCAAAGGGCAAAAAATGCCTAAGTGCAAAATCCCACAGGGTAGCATTCCACAGGCAGGAAAAGTAATATAACCACAACACCAAAACCAAAGCCACTAAACCAACCCCTCAGAAAACCCAGACCCTGAAATAAAAGGTACAGAAATGAATGGGGGATTGAAAAATATAACACAAATATAAAAACCCTTCAATTTACAATATTGTAGGAAGCTGGGCTTTCACAGGTCACAGCCCAACAAACAGCTACAGATGTTCTTTTATTCCTTCCTTTCTATCACAATATTTTACTGATAGATATTACATATGTTGCATGACATATAATGCTTATAGAAATAATCCCATATAAACTATAAGATGCGTAGCATTCTGGAGTCAACAGCTTACATGAAGGTTTCCATGCCCTAGTACCCTATATTTGGTCAGATGAATCCCAGGCCTACTCTGTTTTAGATAAAGCCTCTTTTAGTCAATAACACACACCTGCAGAGGAAATTCAACTCTGAATTAGTACATTCTGTCAAGTATGATGGATTTTATATTCTTTAACTCAGCCCTCTGCACACTGATTTCTCATTCTCCCCTTTGGTGGTGTAAATGACCACAGAAGGTGCTGGCAGGAGAGCATCAGTCTCGCTGGCTCTGAGGAATCACCCAGAATACACAGAAAAGAAACAATACTCACTTTTCAGTGCACTGGAAAAAATAACCTTGTGCCACTGAAACCTTATGAAATAACAGCAACCTCTTCCCACCCCAGCTCAGGTGTATCGTGTCATTATATTAATGCAGACAGAAAATCAGATGCCATTGATTTTTCCAAGCTTCTCAGATTCACTAGTGAAGAATCAGGATGACAAGTGGAGAGCATGGTAACTATACCTGCATCTTTTAAAATTCAACACTCTTAATTTTAGTCTCTAACTAACCTATTTTCATCTTGTCTCCTCTTCCTTTTTATAATTTTAAAATCTTTTTTTCATTCTGTTTTCCCCCAGCGTTTCCTAAGCTACATCTTATTCCTAGGCTCTATGTCTGACCTTGACTAGAGAACCTCTATCTTTTGTCCTTGAAAACAGCACTGTGTGGGAAACCGAATAGGCTTTAGGCACATACAACCTCTCCACCTTATAGGATATACAATTCCATATCTTAATTAGCTGCTTTGTTTTGCTGTTTCCTCCTCTATAGTTCTTTTATTATGTAAGATAGCTTTTTGTAGTTTTTCATAGGAGACACCACACTGTGAGTGAGCTTTGTGCACATACTTTCCTTAGTGTTAACTGAATAAACTTCCCTCTTTTTCCATGTGTGATCCAATCATGTCACTACAACATTGTTTACTGTAGCAGGCAAGTATTCCTTTTTAAATATCTAGAGACTAAATCTGGTTAATGAGCACATTTTTCCATCTTAAAAGTTATAACCTCGTTTTTATTTCTATCTATTATACAACTTCAAAATTGCTCTTTGCTGAAAAACCAGGTGTGGTTGCTATTCAAATATAGTCATGATTAGAGAAAATAAGGTCCTTACAGGGCTCATGTCAACAAAGTATTTGATGGCCTTTCAGCTTACTTTTATATGATTTAGAATAATGAGTACCATAAGCTCTATTAGTGCCTGGGCCAACTCTCTTGAAAATGCAGCAGGTGCTCTATAGAATATCAAGCATTCCATTTCCCTACCATAAAAAATGGGCATGATATTTTTTATATTAACGCTAAAGCTGAAATAGCTAAGAATAAAAAGTTTATATTCAGTATGAGAGTATTGCTGCAAAAGAGAAAAGTAATATATTTTGACAGATTTTACTTTCCTCCTACCCTTTCAGTTCTTGACCTTTCTATAGCAACTATCAACAGAGGCAGGAAGTAATACTGATTTGTGTGCTCGTTCTGATACTATCAAAGACTTGTGGCTAATTTTACAAAAGCATCTAGACAGAATAAACAGTACAAACAATGAGGGAGATTCAGACGTCTGTTCTCTCTCCAACGGTCACCATGAATCCATCACAGACAAACAAAGATTCGGATTTAGCTTGGAGAGCAAATGAAAGTTCCTTCATTTACATTATATGAAAAATTTACTGGCATATTGATTATCCATCAGTTTCCAGGCTAGCAGAGATTTAATTAAGAGATTTTGAAGCTAAAGATGACCATTATATAACTTAGCATCATTTTTTTTTTACATCACGCAGGCTGAGAAGTTTAATTCTATTAGTCTCTCAAAATAAAGACATAGAGCCTTGATTTGAAAATGTCAAGACATTCATTATGGTTTGATGCTATGGCTAATCACCCTGACATTAAAACATGTGCTCCACTTCAGATTCAGAGCTAATTTCCAGAGCTGGGTTCTGGTTATTCCTCTTTCTGTGGAAGCTCTTTAGTAAATGGTGATCTCTTCCTCTTCCCCCTTTTTTTTTGGTGAAGTTACTAATCCCCTACAACTGAGTCACCTTTTGAGTTTCTTTTTCATACAGTTAAACAGCCTGAATTCTTTAAATCTCAAAACAGCAAAAATTGTATCTTCCTTGATATATATATACATATACATATACATATATATATATATATATATAAAACTCTTGAAATAACTGTGGCCTTTTCCTCAACTTTTAGTAGATTGATGCACACTGTCTTTGGAAAAAAAACAAAATATTTTAACATAATGGACAAGGATATAAAAAGAAAAAGGCAGCACTCACCTCCTCTTGCTGGGTATAACTCCCATTTCCTCACTGTCCCCCTCCAGAGTGACCCTCCTCGCCTGCCACCATTCATCGTCTGAGGCGTTGATGACATGAAGGATGTCCCCATACTTAAAACTGAGTCCTTGGCTTGGGAGGCCACTGTCTTTGCTCTTGTCATAGTCAAACATGGCTCTGTGAAAGGAAATAAAGATATGAAGACAGGTGATTATATCAGTCTTGGAAACATTTACTCTGAAGAACTAATCATATTTTGTGTTACAGCTAACCCTTCCTCCTTTCCAAAAAGCCCCTCTCATCAGCTTACCAACAGCTATGTGTGGCTGTTGAGCTTGTGTTTTTTTCTTGTGCTCAGACAGGGGTTGTCTGGCAGACGGGGGTGCATTGGGAGGACTAAACATAAGGGACCAAACCCACGCTCGGTGTAATGCATTTCTTTAGGTGAATGGATGCATATATCTTAGCATCCAGATCAGACTAGAAGTGAGTTTTCGAAAGGAATCTCTTGATTATTCCCACCCACAGTGCTCTGGTTGATGTCCTGGAGCTGTGTTGGGTTGCCAACATTGTATTTCTGAAATTTGAAACTAAACAGAAAGATGCCTTGAGTAGTGCTAGTCTGACATACATCCTCCAAATGCACCTAGGGTTTAGACAGCACCACAGATTTCACTCCCTGTGTTCAGTTCCCCTGTGCTAAAGCACCTGCTCAAGCAGCCCTAGCTCTTTCCTTCAATGCTGAAGATATTTTCCACCAGTTTGAAGTGGACTTCCACCTTGGGTATACCTATACAAAACGCCCCATGTATGGGACATGTATGTTAATGTAGGATGTATATATAGGTCCAGGGACTCCATAAGCACAAATTGAGAGCCAGCTTTAAGGTACCTGGGTATCAGACTGTGTCTGGGCATAGTTCAGCATGAAATTGCTGCCTTAGTATTCAACCTAGATCCTGGGAAAGACCTTCAGCCTGCCCTGAGTTCTGTATTACCAAATTACAGTGATACCAACTCTGACCCTCCTCCAGTCCTATGCCTGGCACTTACACCAGCAGTCTTCAGGGTAGATGTATCCCAGTTTCTTAGGGGAAGGCCCTGCACATGGATCCCAACAAGACTGCAAATGAGTGCAGGTCACTCATTGGAGTTACCTAGCTAAAAATCCAGATCTTGGTTTCTTACAGGAAAAAAATACTTGGAAATATTTTTCCCATGTAAAATATTGTTTAAAGATCAGGCCTATCAAGAACTGATATTTATTTCCTATAGGGAAAATGATATGATTATAAACCTGGCTACAGAAATGTTAGATCAGTAAAATCCCACTGGGTCTGATAATTCCTACTCTTTTATTGTCAGAAAAAAAGCCATGGCAATCTCTTCACTAGTAAACACTTCTGTGAGAAGGATCTGATGTAATTAATTGTTGTACATTGTAAAGTCATTGAAAAGAATGTTTATAGCAGCTTTGTGGCTAGATTTAAAACACTCAAGGCTACCTCTTATAATGAGGAGAACTTTGAAAGAAGTTATGACTATAAAAGAGTTGTGACTATGCACTCAAAATAATTTAAAACTCTCAAAAACACTCATTCTGCACGGAGAGTCTGGCTCAGTAGGAATAAAAATGCTACTGAAATATGTCTTCTTTTAAAGAGTTTACAGTCTTTTACTAACATCTTCAAAAATGCCCAGATTATTCCCTTCTCTGAGGATGAAGACTGTTGAATTTTATATAATCCAGAAGCTTAGTTATCCTTGTGCCTTTCTTGTTAAATGTTCTTGGAATGTATGTGACCTTTGGAAAAAAATTAATGGCTTAGCAATGAAACAGTTTCTTTAAAAACTTGGCTATATCTTACTAAATATTTACATTCATAAGGGATTCTTATCACTAACAGTCATCTGCTGCTTTTCAAATACAGCTTTCTGTGAGGACATTTAATGAAGAACCTTATAAATCCAGTTAAGTATCATTAGACACCTCTGCTTAACCAATTAATGACACCTGATCTCTGGAAAATGGCAGTGCATACACAAACAGGCATACAGCGTATCACCCTGTTGGTATTGCCCTTTTCAGCATGCCGTGGTCAGAGTTTTACCATTGTATTGAACAGTTGTTGGCTTAAAAAGTCACTGAATAATTGTGTACCTTGCCATGGAAGCCTATCAACATCTCAAAAGCCCTAACGACACAGTTGGCAGCTGTGCGGATTTCTGGGCAGATGTCATATAATCCTGACTCCAGGAACTATTGAATCACCCAAAATGAAGGACAGTATCTTCTGTTGCAGACACGACTGCCATATCCCAGATGTAAAACACCTGCCATATTGAAAATGCTCTGTATTTGTCATATTCTAAGACTGAGGTTGTGTTTCAAAAGCTAAATAGTAGAAAGTAAGTAGGACAATGTTCTTTGTCCTTGAACAGACATTTGCACCTCAGAGCCCATGTGTTAACTTAAAATCAGACTGCCATCATGCTAGCTGATGTTAATGATGAATGCAGATGGCAATGTTTGCCACTGACTTGCTTTGATTGGAGTAATCATGTGCAATGCTAATTAAAATGAGATTATAGATCTCAGACAAGAGAATTTTTGAGCACACTTTTCACTGAAAGAAAGATTTTGTGGCTGATGCTCTACAGACGTTGATTACTCTATTAGCAAATGAAAATGACATGAGAGCTGACTTCAGTGCTCTTCCCTAAACATTTCAAATTAAGAGCCAGGTCTAAGTTGGTAACACAGCCGTATTTTTGCTTACAACTTTGATAACATTTCTGGCTTGGAAAAATACTTCATCAAGCTGGCTGCTGGCCCAGCTGTAAAGCAAATGGAGGTGTTCACTCTAGGCACTGTTGTATGCGTATAGAAGTGAACATGACTACCTCGGGCAATAGGGAGACCTGGGCATTCTCATCCTCACCACCTCAGGCTGCAAGTGCAATTTGGATCTCTACCTCTCCAGTTGCAAAATCTAGAGGCTGGTACGTCATTTCTAATTTTCTACCCAATGAACAGCACCCAGTTCTGTTTGTGCTCAGTCTTGCAGATGTATATAAAAATAACACCTCTGCATCTGTTGAGTGTCAACTGAAGTGATACAAAATTAATGCAGCCAGACCTCTTGTTTGGTAAAGGAACTGGGCAAGACAGACAGAAAAAGATGCCTTTTTTTGCTTTACTCTTTCATGTTTTTAGACAATGACATCCAAATCTTATAAGGTACTATGCTGCATTCTGTAAGCACTGAAACTTTCATCAAAGAGTCAAGCTCAGCTCTCAGCAAAGTCTATTTGTTCTATGCAAGCTTCTTTACCTGGATAACATACTAAAGTATGTTAGAAACCTTAAGTAGATTCTGCCATGCCATGGGCTTTATTGGTGGAAAGGTTAAAAAATAGTAGCACCTTTGCTGAATATTGTGTGTTGAGGAGAGGACATAAGCAACCCAATCCAACAAGAAAGCCACCCTTCCAAAGAGCAACCAACACTCCTCTCTGAGAGATGAGCACCATATTTTCCTTTCAGTTAGAGAAGGACCAGACAAGTAGTCTTCCAAAATGAGATGTCTAGCAGTGTGGTAGGATAGACCCACCCTGATAAGACCTAAAATCCAGTCAAGCTGTCATGCAAGCTACGAGCAAGATCAACTGCTGGAGCCAGGGTGTTGTCTTGGTGTTAATTGTGCTAAAACTGTCCTGGTTCACCAGACTTCAAATCCACACCCTGCTTTTTGAAGTCTGATTTGACAGATAGCTGGCCTGTAAATGTGTGACTAACAGTCAATCACTTTATACCATAAAAGTCCAGTCCCCTTTCATGCAGTCAGGTTTTCCTGGCATAACCCTTCTTGGGATGTATGTGTGGAGATTTCTCCCCTTTCCTGGGGACAATCCCCAGTGTTATCCTCGAGGTTGAGAGAAAGAGATCTCCCCATGAGTATTGATGCTGCTGGGATACATCAGATCTCTACTTAATAATTATTTCTTTTTGCTAGCTTTAATATAACTGCTTCAATAATTGCTTTGTTACAGTGCATTATACTACTTTATGCTATATCATAATCTACTACCAGATTTTTAGTGTTTAAATTGTGTAATAAATTGTTCTGATTAAATATCTTTTGTCTGATCATTTGTAATAATATTAATTTTACAGAAATATTTTCATTTTGCCAATCATTAAAACCTGCAGGACAAAAGTGGTTCCATCTCACCTCTGTAATTCATCAAATTTAAACTACTGACATAATCCGAGGCTAAGATTGGATGCAGCCTCACCTAGACTCTTCTCTCAGAAGGAGTTTAGAAAGCCAGGCAGTCCTTTCTGCATCTCCTGACTCAAGAGCAGAGCTTCTCCATAAATTTTGTCTAAACCTTCCACTCCCACCCGTAACAAATAGAAATGGCAAAGAAGTGTTATTTAAACCAGCCAGAGGATTTAACCCAGCAAGACGTGTCACAGTGCCTCCTTCTGTGATGAATTAGAGGTGTCTCCACAGAATGTAAGCACAACAGTGCAGATACTGGAGAGCCTGCTCAGCAGAGCTAATGAGCTTTCTGAATTTGCTAATATGACTATACAATTTCATATGGCTGAGTCTGTTTATTCATGGGTTGCTTGGGCAGTTCTCCAAGGCACTGAGCTGTAACTCATGTTTAGTGTCTTTTACTGCAGTATTAGAGAATAATAATCTCAATGATCTTACAACTTTCTAATGGCGTTTATCTGACAGTCTTGAACACTAACAGTTTCTTATTTTTCTTCTACAACTTATAAAAGTGCATCTTAAAGCACATCTTTGTGGGCATCTTTGTCTTTCAGGAGTCTTTTATGCTCAGTTAGCTGCTTGCATCCACTGTTCGGTCCTTTTTTGGATTACAGGACAGAACCCAAAACTCTACAAGGCTTTCCCTGTGGCAGTAAGGCTTTTATTTCCAAGTCAATCTACTTCTGAATTGGGATACTCAATTTTTAATAACAAAGAAAATCAGTTAGAATTATTTATCTTCCATTCTAGAGCTGTCATCAATGTCGTGACTACACCAGCATCAAAAAAACTCCTGGTCTCTATCTTCTAGACAGTGCACTTCACAAACAGGACTCAGGGTTACACAAGATAGATAACAGATTTTGAGGTTACAAATACAGTAAACCT